TTTAGCCACCTGAAATTCCTCTTCATCAACCTCGGGACCTGCACGTTTCATCGACAGCACTTCGGACGTGTCACCGCTCCCGCCGGTCCAGGGGCACGCGGTATTATCCTGGGTCGCCGTTGACGGCGTGTCCTCTTCGCCAACAGGCTGCACCGATTCGTCCGTAGACATGGTCGCCTCGGGCAAAGGGGTCTTAGACTGAGCCACCTTCGACGCCTAGGAAATCCTAGTTGTCGGCTCGACTCTACCGGGGCACTGTGACCGGACGTGCCCTACTTGCTGGCAACGTAAACAAATTGGTGGCCGGCCAGGAACCATAATCAGAGCGGTCTTGCCGAAAAGCTTGGCTTTGTATGGTATTCTGTCCTGATCACCTTCCCGAATTACCAATACAATTATTCGGGTTCCTGTCTCCAAGGTAACTGTTCCGATTGCGGTTGTCTCCCTTGACACTTCCACTACTCCACTAAAACAACCATCAAAGTAGTCTGCAATGGCGTCGTCTGATATCCAGGTCGGCAACCATTGCACCCGAACTGAGAGTCGCCGTTGATCACACCGTTCTGGAAATAGTTGAAAATATGCTTCCTTGGCAAGCCCCTTTTCCACCAAGCGGTCAACTGTCTCATCTGACAAAAAGGTCACGAACCAGGTGTTGGGGGCCTCACATCGAAAAACCGACGAGATATCTTCACCTGGAATACCTGCACTCAACAAACTCTTCACAATCTCAAATCTTGTTTTTTTGGTCCGGTTAACAACAATCTCGCTGACTTCTTCAACACATTTATATGGTGGCATATTTCTGCCATCCACTTGCGACTTACGAGTTACGTATGTCGACATAATTATTGAAAGATGTCGACATAATCTGAGAATATGTCGACATAATCTGAGAAGATGTCGACATAACTGTTAAATTATGTCGACATATTATCACATTTGCCGAGATAATTTTGCCGAGATAATTATCTCGTAAGTGGGTAACTCGGCTTTTTATCGTGTTAATGCTCGGGTGTGACATCGACTTGCCACTTACGACTTGCCACTTACGACTTATTTATGTCGACATCCTAGTAGATTATTGCCGACTTACCAAAACGAGGCTTGTGCACGAGGACCGCGAAGGTGGGCTGATGGTGACTGAACAGTGGTGACTATACTGGTGAGTAACTTGGTAAAATCAATGTAAATATGGGAAATCAAAGATATGGATATTACAGTAGGTTACTATGATGTACAGAGTTTATCAATCAAAGAGGGATTTTACATAAATAAGTCGTAAGTGGCAAGTCGTAAGTCGATGTCACACCCGAGCATTAACACGATAAAAAGCCGAGTTACCCACTTACGAGATAATTATCTCGGCAAAATTATCTCGGCAAATGTGATAATATGTCGACATAATTTAAAAGTTATGTCGACATCTTCTCAGATTATGTCGACATATTCTCAGATTATGTCGACATCTTTCAATAATTATGTCGACATACGTAACTCGTAAGTCGCAAGTGGATGGCAGAAATATGCCACCATACATTTAGTTAGGTTAATGTGGTTCATACTTGCAATGTTCATGGCACCTTTTTCGTTTTAGTTTGATACAATTTTATTCATAATGTACAGACTAAAAGCGTTATATGACACCCCCTATAACGCTAGTGTAACTAATTGACAACCAGTATCCCTGGTAAGGTGCAATTACCCCTAAAGCTGGATGGACAATATTTCCGGTATACTTTTCTAGATCTAATAAATAATTGGTAATACATTAAAGATAGGAAACTTGTTAACCTTGAATTGAGAAACTATTACGAATAAACCAAAACTAAATGATAAATTTATATCCTACATATTCAATCATCAACATTAAGACAATTATGTTACTATTCAAGCATAAGATCCGTAATATAAAGTTTGTCATAACTTAGAATAATCCCTGCAAAGGTAGATTCACAACAAGCTTATCGTTATCAATAGTACAAAATATATTTGCGGTACACCAGTGTTCAGAAAAACGCTGCTGGGAAAAACGGGAAAAATCTACTTGAATTCGCAGAATGATATTACTTATAAAGTGACAGGCAAGAGAATCGGAAGTAAGAGGTTTTCGGTCAAATTTTTTAAAACAGCGGACAAACCAAATGGAGGATAGGGACTCTGCCACTAAATACAGGACAAGGGACTTAACCTTAAACGTGAGACCTATAGGGGAATGTAAAGGCCAAAGTGCCAAATCAGAGGGGATTTTGTTTTCTGAAATCTGGTGTATCCAGGAACTTACTAAGGAAACTAACGGCTTAATAAAAGGACATTGGAAAAATAAATGCGATATGGTTTCAAAACCATCACAGAAAGTACAATGTTTTGACGATTCAACACCAAATTTATAGATACGGAAAATTAACTGGCAAAATTTCTTTGGTAGTTGAAGTCTCCAATTTGAAATCCGGAAACTCCTTTGTAAAAAAACTGGAAAATCTGGTAAACATATGCATAAAATTTAGGACACCAATCGCTATGAGGTACATTATTATCAACAAATGAAAGATACTGACGAAATTGTAATGAGAGCCAATACATGGGTAATATTATCCACTTGGCTTCAGACTGTGAATACAGAAGAAAATGTTGACAATGCTTCATATAAATGGAATGCAACCTGGCTTTAATATTAACGATAAAAATACCACCACTGGTAAATTGAGCATAGGCTGTCGAGCGCGCAAGTGGCTCTGACTTTGAATTCCATAGAAACCGAAACAAAGTTCTCAGAAAAAGGTCCAAATAATGCCGAGGCATTGTAACAATAGTACCAGTATATCAAATATTGCTGCACGCCAGGACCTTTATAACAATAGATTTTTTGGTCAAAGATAACTTTCGAATTTTCCATAAATCTAGGGCCCTGGAGAATTTCCGAAAAATTGGCTGCCAAACATCGTCAGGAGTGATATTATTACCCACTCATATGCCACAAATTTTCATTTTTTTCTACCCAGCTTATACCAAAGGGGTGATCTGAACGAGATTTCCATTTTCCTAAAAATAACCCTTTGGTTTTATTTAAATTAAGTTTTGAACCTGACGCTTTGCCATAAAAATCACACCAATAAAAAAGTTTCTTAATAGAAGGATCAGTGCAGCAAATACCTGTACTATCATCCGCATAAAGGGAAATTTTTGCTGAATGAGTGGAACCCGGTAATTTTACACCAACAATTTCAGGGTCGTCACGAACTGCTTTAGCAAAGGGTTCCAAAACCAAAACATATAAAAGGGGAGATAAACTGCAGCCTTGTCTCACACCACGAGTGATGGGGAAAGGGTCCGAGATAAACCCATTAACAATAACAGACGACATAACATCTTTGTATAAAATACGGACCCATCTAATAAAAACAGGGCCAAACTTATAAGCCTTAAGTACTTTAAATAAAAACTTATAATTTACCCTATCAAAAGCTTTCTCTTGATCAAGAGATATAAATGCACAATTTAAGTTCTTTTGATTAACATAATCAACAATATTACGCAATAGATGACAGTTTTCAAAAATAGATCGCTCCTTTATAGCACAAGTTTGATCAATATGGACAATATTACTAATTATTTTACTTAACCTATTAGTAATAACTTTGGACAAAATTTTATAATTGATGTTTAATAAAGAGATGGGCCGCCAGTTTTTCATATTGGTTGAATTACTGAGGTCTTTACAAAGTAAAGAAATATATGAAATTTTCTGGGTGTCACACAATTCACATCTATCGAAAACTTCTTTATACAATGAAACTAATTGGTCTCCCAAAATATCCAAAAAAGTAAAATAAAACTCTTTGGTGAGACCATCAAAACCTGGAGATTTATTATTACGCATGTTTTTGATTGCGCTAAAAATGTATTCTTTTCTGATCGGGCCCTCACACAAAAAACTATCTAATTCCGTTAACATAGGAAGATCTTTTCAAAGAGAATCAGCCAAATCACAATCAATTTCCTCCTCAGAAAGAAAGTTTTGAATAAAAATCTCTAAAAGCAGCTAAAATATCATTTGAATCCGAAACTGAGGAGGACTCATTTATGTCAATTTTCTCAATAAGTTTCTTCCTACCTCTATCATTCTCCATTTTAAAAAAATGTCTGGAAAGTTTCTCTGAAAAATCTAAGGAATTGGCCCTCGATCTAATCATAGATCCCCGATAACTCTCAGAGTAAAAATGTTTTATTTGCGTTTTGACAGAAACAGTTTGATCAGCTAAAATATCATTTGAATCCGAAACTGAGGAGGACTTATTTATGTCAATATTCTAATGAATCTAAGGAATTGGCCCTCGATCTAATCATAGATCCCCGATAACTCTCAGAGTAAAAATGTTTTATTTGCGTTTTGACAGAAACAGTTTGATCAGCTAAAATATCATTTGAATCCGAAACTGAGGAGGACTTATTTATGTCAATTTTCTCAATAAGTTTCTTCTTACCTCTATCATTCTCCATTTAAAAAAAATATCTGGAAGGTTTCTCTGAAAAATCTAAGGAATTGGCCCTCGATCTAATCATAGATCCCCGATAACTCTCAGAGTAAAAATGTTTTATTTGCGTTTTGACAGAAACAGTTTGATCAACAAAATCACCAGGTGACTGCCTCTCTAAAGTATACAATTCATTAAATTTACACTGGAGGTATTTAATTACACTACGCTTTACCTTAACCTTTTTCGTACAATACTCGATAATAAAAAAGAAAATACAATAGATTTGCAATCATCCCAATTATCTAATGATTACTTGTTAATATTAATTATTACACTTATTTAATTTCTAAAAACTTATGTGGTTTTAAAGCACATCCCTCTTTTTTCTAGTCATTTTTTTCTGTACGAACCCTGCTTTAATATGATTAATATGTATAATTATTCTTTCAAATTTTAAAACTCTACACTTTCATTTTTTTAATTTTGATTCTGACATTTACATCATTGTTATTTCAGTATGTTGATTTAACAAGCAAGAAGCCAACAACTGCAAGTAGATGTAAAACACCAACAGACGATGCATTTGACTCTACAGGAAGAAAGAATGCAGCCAACAGAAACAGACCATCTCTAAGGTACATTGTAACAGTCAAATAGTATATTGACACCCTAAGCATTGTTAACATTATTAAAAAAAATCTGTAAAATCTACAATAGAAACATATGCATCCTAACTCCTGTATTCAGGTATAATTTACATAAAGCATATATACATTTTCAGTGTTAAACTGCTACTAGACAATATATAAGCAATATGTATAACCCCTGGATTACAGGTTAATAGTCTAAGAATGAAATTGGTTCCATAATCTATGACAAAACATAAGGAGACTTATGATTTGTCATAGATTATGTATAACACCTGGATTACAGGTTTATAGTCTAAGAATGAAATTGGTTCCATAATCTATGACAAAACATAAGGAGACTTATGATTTGTCATAGATTATGTATAACACCTGGATTACAGGTTTATAGTCTAAGAATGAAATTGGTTCCATAATCTATGACAAAACATAAGGAGACTGCATTGACTGGAATACAAATAGTTTTTATTTAGAAAACAGAAAATGGAGATACCTAATATTTCCTAGTTTCTCACAATGTATGGATTTGACTTTAGTTAAGTGTTATATAAAAGTATGAAAATTCCAATATTTACAGGAAAGGGAGAACAAAGACCAAGAAGACATCTTCAGGTAGAAGAAGCAGTACTGATGCAGCCAATATAGTGACAACTCCATCACTAAGGTACATGCAATTAAAGCATACTATTTTATCTGTTTAATTATGTCCCTTCATGACATTCCCTAATCATATAATGTTTGTGGTGAAAATAAATATGAATAAGTATGATGTTTCCTAGATTTGTATTTTTACTTCATAGGTCTAGTTCATGAGTCTCAAAAGTGAAATTTGTTGGAAAAAGTGTAAAAAACACCAGTGGATAATTGATGCAGCAACAGATCAACGTGAATGGTATAAGGGTACAGTGTTGAGTGTTATTTCTGGTGTTAACGGTGAGGACAATGGAGTTTATGAAGTTATATATCAAGGAGAGCAAGAACCGGTCGAAGTTGACCATTTGCTTGAGGACCTCCGATCTTCATCCTTGATATTTATTGACGTTTAAAAGTGAGTAGACATTTTTTCAATAAGAAAACTAAATCTTCAATTATATTCATATAGGATGAAGTCAAGGTGAAGATAATTGAAGTGTTTGTATATAGATAGACAAATGGTTAAATTTCTATATGGCTAATGTTATACATGTAGTATTCAATATAGATTTCAAGATTTCAATCATATTGTTTGTTTATTTAGTGAAAATGGTGTAAATTTCATGTTACCAATATCTATAGGTTATGTGTTTCAAAATTAGCCCCTCCTATAAGAGTGTTATACAACGTCAATGTGAAATATGTGAAGCAATATTTTTTGCGACCAAAGACTTAAAGGAATATAACCCTGACCTTTGAACTTAACAAATTTAATATATGGGAGCATCATGTATTCTGTGCACACAACTGTAACGTGCACCGTGGTCGTTACCTATTTGGTCCGTCCCAAGTGCCTCTCGGGATATGCTTGCTTAGTAGCGCAGAGACTTTCTATATAAATTGGACCCAAGCAAACTTCAGCAAATCAGACTATAATTAGTATTATTTACAAAGGATTTTAATACGGTAAACCTATGATACAGTTACATACAATAAACAGGGTCGTGCTACTTGTCACGGGACTCACAATTACAATACACATTTAACGTTAACAGGGGCTAGACAAGACCTTCAGCGCACCGGCTTATGCAGCGCGGCACACGGCACTAACATCTAGCACATGACTATTACAAGTGCTCCCGGCACTAGTACAGCGCAGTGACAACCTTGCGCACCGGCTTATCCAGCGCGGCGCACGGCACTAACAACTAGCACACGACTATTAAAAGTGCTCCCGGCACTAGTACAGCGCAGTGACAACCTTGCGCACCGGCTTATCCAGCGCAGCGCACCGGCTCACACAGCGTAATAGCTACACTGTGCACAGACCTTACATCCGCTAGTCACCCTCATCTACTGCCGCCTCACGACCACTGGTCACTTATTCAGCGACCAACAACTACCACGCTATGACAGACTTATGCAGTCCTTCCACAAAGACTTATCCAGCCTTTGTGTATACCTTATCGTTGTTGTATCTCGCCGTGTTCTTCTGTCAGCATCNTTCGCCGTGATCTTCTGTCAGCATCAGAATTCTCCCCCAGAATGAGATGAAGCCTCGCTTAGATACTGCTAGCTCAAACCTTTCTGGGGGGAATCAGGTTATCCCATTTTTTTACGACGTCACTAACTTTCTGGTCTTACAAGCGCTTTCAGCCTATGCCAAAAGCTATGTAAAAACCACAAACGCAACCGAACACTGATTACACATGGTTTATTTACACAATCACGTTAAGCTGACAATACTCCAAACGTACACACGTACCTCTCGACAGGACACCGGAAATAAACGTCACTGGTACGTACACACACTCAGTAACTTGCATAACTGTTTATTACACTACCCTTCCCTCAAGATTAATGCGTCCTCGCATTATCAGTTCTCGTCCCTTGCTTGAGTGACGCAACAAATAAAACATCCCAAGTAAGTCTTCAACGGATGATAAATAATTGTATAGAGTAACAAGAGAAAGAGTTCTACTGCCCGAGTAGAATTAAATGAACACATCACTAGTTTATCAGAAACATTGTCACTCCCACCATTCTTCTTCCGAAATTTCATACAAAGTTGCAGCTCCCTCTACAGTGGTCACTTCACCATCACTGAAAACAGAACTCAGCTCCCCTGGGTCTTGCCTCTCCCATTCGCTTTCACTGCTCTCGTGTTGCTCATTCTCGTGACAGCGTCGCTGGTGTCGAGCCAAGTCGGCCTGTTTTGCAGTGGCATAGCTACAGGCACCAAAGTTACATACATAGGCATCCTTCGTCATGCGCTGCCTGCCGCACTGGAGAAAGTGACATGAACAGTTTTTCTCGTCTACGAATTTGGCACCACAGAGCGGACATCTGAACGGGTACTTGACCGGGGTCGTCTTTGTATTCACCATCCTTAAAGATACAAAGTGAATGTTTCTCTGCCATTACATGTGCAGTTACGGACATAATCTTTCATCCAGCGTGGTGGTTGTCGGCGGCGCCGCCTGTGGTCGGTAAGAGGCTCAATTTCTGATTCAACACTACTTGTATCACCTAGATCAGCTTCAACCCCTTCAAAGTCTACAATCCCATCAGTTTGGGATAAAGGCTTATCCTGATCGGTTTCAGCCATACCATCATCAAATACGACAGGCTGATCTCGACTATCAATCTGCTCGCCTCTCAAGTCCTGACTGTATTTCTTGCGAATGCGGTCCACATGAATCACTTGTGGCTTTCCTCTTGATCCACAATTGAGGTTGTAGTTCAAATCCGAGCACTTCCCTAACACTTTGAAAGGTCCCCGCCAGAAACTCGTAAATTTGGGTGATAGCCCTTGCTTCTTCTGAGGAAAGAAAACGTACACCATCTCGCCTTTTTCGAAAATCTGCCAGCTAAGTTTCTGGTCGTGGTACTGCTTTTGTCTAAGCATGGCACAAGCTGACTTCTCTCGACCAAAGGAATGGGCCTCTTCCTTTCTTTCTTGCAACTCCCACACCCACTGATGTTGAGGAATGGCTTTGGCGAACCGAGGCATTTCGTACATTAGGTCCAGAGGTGTTGCAACTTCACGACCTAGCATGAGCTTGTTTGGCGTATGCCCCGTCGTTTCGTGCTGGGACGATCGGTAAGCCATCATGACATAAGGTTACTCCAACAATGTTAGAGGTTTTACACGGCGAAAAACTTTTGACAGGCGCCGCGTAACCTCTAACTGCCCATAGCTGATATTCCCGATGCTGACGATCACATTTTCAAAGTTCGGATTAAGAAAGAGTATATCGTGTTTACATACATTTAAATGGTCAAAAGGGTCCAATAAATATTCCTTTCCATAAATCCATGATTATATGAGAAAAAATTCATGTCAAAGACATAAATAATAAGTTTTTCATCATTCGAAGCGAAGCAGACAGCATTTGCTATGAATTTTCCGGTTAATACAAAAAATGGATTACATGTAATGTTTCACAAGCGGAATACAAACAAACTCCGTATCATTTCGTTCCGTTTGAAATCCCCCCTGATATTTTGTATTAATCCAGAAGCCATGTTTTAAATGTAGGCCAGAGATGTGCTACAACGACATGGGCATGTATTTTGAGTGTTCTATTCCGTAATATACTATATATTTGTGTCTGTGACATACATATGAGATCTATATTATATATTCCGTGAGTATACATCGTTGTCATGAACTGTTAACCACTTAAGTGAGTTCTTCAAGCCGATTTTGTTCCGCCCGGATTTCGGGCGGAAACTGCATCAAAGAATTAGTGCTTCGGAAATGAGAGGTCGCAGTCGGCAAAATCATATCCGATTGAAAAAAGGCCGACCAGCGGCCTCTCATGTTATGGGAGTAGACATAAGGTATGTATGTGTCCCAGTCAGAATGGTGTTCGTTGACATAAGCGCCAAGCTTTAGCGCACTTGCTTAGTAGCGCAGAGACTTCCTATATAAATTGGACCCAAGCAAACTCAATCAGACTATAATTAGTATTATTTACAAAGGATTTTAATACGGTAAACCTATGATACAGTTACATACAATAAACAGGGGCGTGCTACTTGTCACGGAACTCACAATTACAATACACATTTAACGTTAACAGGGGCTAGACAAGACCTTCAGCGCACCGGCTTATGCAGCGCGGCGCACGGCACTAACATCTAGCACACGACTATTACAAGTGCTCCCGGCACTAGTACAGCGCAGTGACAACCGTGCGCACCGGCTTATCCAGCGCAGCGCACCGACTCACACAGCGTAATAGCTACACTGTGCACAGGCCTTACATCAGCTGGTCACCCTCATCTACTGCCGCCTCACGACCACTGGTCACTTATTCAGCGACCAACAACCACCACGCTATGGAAGACTTATGCAGTCCTTCCACAAAGACTTATCCAGCCTTTGTATATACCTTAACGTTGTTGTATCTTGCCGTGATCTTCTGTCAGCATCAGAATTCCCCCCCAGAATGAGATGAAGCCTCGCTTATATACTGCTAGCTCAAACCATTCTGGGGTGAATCAGGTTATCCCATTTTTTTACGACGTCACTAACTTTCTGGTCTTACAAGCTTTGCCAAAAGCTATGTAATAACCACAAACGCAACCGAACACTGATTACACATGGTTTATTTACACAATCACGTTAAGCTGACAATACTCCAAACGTACACACGTACCTCTCGACAGGACACCGGAAATAAACGCCACTGGTACGTACACACACTCAGTAACTTGCATAACTGTTTATTACACAACATTCCTGTAGAGTTTGGTAACTGTTATATTTTTAGGATTAAGTTTTGAACATTTTATCACTCTCGGGTGTAAACTAATACACTACAGGGCCTCCATACATTTCCACAAAAGAAGTCCCAACAAATCTTATCTGCCATTTCCATTTTTCATGAGGACATTTTAAAATTTGATTTTGGTTAAAGCTATTCCATGTGTCACAAATCTGTAGTCCCCATGTCTTTATAAAGATGTTGAAGATGTTTTTTTTTGGATATTTTGTAGACATTTGCATTTTGCTGACTTCTTGGGATTTCTTGCCAAATCAGCTGCTTATAAGGTGAATATGTCAAGACTCATCAAAAATATTTGTAACAAGGCCGGTTATTTAGCGTCCTTATACAATAGTGAACATTTTGATGTATTGGTTTACATACCAATGAGAATTTTAGAGCTAAAACATATGTTTACTTTTGCCTTAAATTGACTTTAGCGGAACCTTAAAACACCAAGGTCGATGTGTTTGTCAGCTATACTTGCCAAGAATAGGGAACACAATGTAACAGGGTATACTCATTGCACTAAGACACACAGTGTCCATGTGTTGTCTGTCCCGTATTCGTGTCATAACCTGAACGTGGAGTGTTGTGAGAGCGTGATCTGCACGAGTATTTACATACTCACGCCACCCCGTGTGTCGTATATGTACGCGCACGTCACCACCCTGATTCACTTCAAACTGTGCTGCCGAGCAGGACCTATGCAGTACAGAGGTCAATATATTTGCATATTAGACAAATAAAATGTCAACATTTGTTAATTTAATAATTTAAACCAATAATTAAAAAAAATGTGGGCCAAGTTGATCAACATGTTAAAATTGAAATTTACAAAATGTTTGTTTATTTCTAAAATTATATTTTTTGCGCATAAATTGTGTTTTTATGTACACTATTTAAATTGAGTAGGGGAGCTAACTAACTGTTACTACAGTACTGTAGCGGTAGAGACGTAGACCGTCGGACATTGCGTACTGTGGATGCTTTGCAGGTTGACTAGAGTTTTCAGCTATTTGATAATTTAAATTTACAATTTTGTTACATGTTTTTCTGAGTATTTAATTTGGTCAGTATAATGACGCCCCACATTTTCCGCAGCCACGGTCAGGCATTTAGAACTCTACTGTACAACCGGAAGTAGAAAGTCGCCATCCGGAATAGAAACGTAAACACCTCCTGCTGAACTGGGAAGCAAATGTAATGTTTGTAAGAGGCTGAAAGACTGAATTACAGTATGATTAAAGCCATTTTAGTGTTCAACAATCACGGCAAGCCCAGATTATCCAAATTTTACCAGTTTTATGTAAGTAGAACCTATCGAGTTACTCATTTACCGGTGAATTATCATCCCCCCCTCTCCGACACTCGGCTGCCCATAGGCGCTTGACACTCTTATACTACAATAATAATAGTCATATGATGCGTGCCAATGATCAGTCTACAATTAATTTTCATGAGTTTTTTTTCAACTGTTTTGCTACAAACAACGGTTCCCACACTGTTATATATAACTAATTCCAAATTTGCCATTAATCCCATTAAAATTCGATGTCAAAGTAGAGGACTCGGGACTCGTATGCATAGATTCAACACTGGTGTACTATATCCTGTAATATGAAAAGGCAAAACCTTAAAAGAGCGTAGCTTTTGTTGATCTCTGATATTTACTGATTCAGAATACTGCTTTCAGAATGAGATAAGATAAACCTTTTTTAAACTTGGCAAGTCGAGGAATAACAATAAAACACAAACTCTAATGAGATTAAGACCGACATTACAATAGGGGAGACTGGGGAATGTTCTGCCCCCTTTTTTTTTTTATTAAAGTCTGTTGTGGAGAATATGGCAGCATGTCAGTTTTTGAACATTATTTAACTTTTCCTGTCGGAAGATCGGATGGCCGAACAAGCCCTGCCATGGGGCAAGTTCGGACAGGCATTCGGGTAAGTTCGGCTCCCATTGGAATCAGCTTAATTATAACATCATAAAGCATGCAATGTCCAATTTTACTGATAATTTTACGACTTTTTATGTCTTACATTAATTTTCTCCAGTTTAGTAATTTTACATTAGAGTTTTCCTCACCATTTTTTTTTAGAATGCCCAGCCAACTAAACAAGTAAGATCCTTAAAGTTGTATTTATTAGCTCAAAAACAAAAAAATATCAGGGGTGGCAGAACTTGCCCCGGTCTCCCGTATGTAGATTTTTAGTATCCACAATATAATTTTTGCATCAATGACACCATTTTCTTCCAGTCAAAGCTAAAGTTGATATTTGTTCTTGTGCATAACGTATATGATGGGTCGGGTGGCGCAGTGGATAGTGCGCTCGTCTTCACCAAGATGGTCGGATTCAATTCTGGTTACCTAGCTCACAGCCTGATCACGCGGGTTTTTCTCCGGATACTTCAGCTTCCTCTCATATTAAGAATTAAATCCTCTGCGTGCTTCCGTCAGGGCGCAAAAAGAATGATTGAGATAAGCTGGGGGAAACAGTTTGGTAATTGCTATAGAAAAAAAGTGCATTTTACATATTTGAAAGTGAATCTATGAAAATGGATAGAGATGTTAGTTGCAAAAATTGATATTAATTTAAAAAAAAGAAAACATTGTAATACTTTGATGTGCCCGAGATTGTCCTTATATCGATATGTAGTCTCAATTCCTGTTCCATCCTGAAACACAGATTGAATTTCAAATTTTGTAACTGTCACCGAGGTTTGACAGGTAATGATGCCAAATAAAATTAAACTGTTTCTGTCTGTCACTAGTTGTGAAAAAGTAATACGTTGCTGAAAAAGGGCGTTGAACTTATGTTGGTTGTCTGGAATGTTGAGTAAACTAAATGTTTTTTAACAAATTTTTTAATTGTCAGGCGGAAGATGTGGAGCAACAGATAATCCGGGAAACTTTCCACTTGGTGTCAAAACGTGACGAAAATGTCTGCAACTTTTTAGAGGGCGGCACGTGAGTATGAGACCATGACATTTATCAGACATGTAACAGGAAACAAGTTTGGAACATATTATGATATATATACAATAACAAGTCCAAACAAAATAGTTTGGACTTGTAAATATATTCCAAACTTCAAGGAACCCAAGACCACTGCCAAAAACTGTACGTATTTGATTTTTTTTTACCAGCCTGAAAGAAACCTTTTAATTTCTGAAAGGAAAGTAAAGATGAAAGTGACAAAATATTATCAAAATGGTATTCTGCTAGTAAAAATACAACATGGATGGGTTGGGATTGGACCCGGGATCTCTGTTTGCTTTAACTAACTGAGCTACGTGATCAAAAGGTAGTCACTTGGCTATAGCTAATTAGTCCCACTACAGTTATAACCAGAACTAAATCAAAGGGAGGTTACTATGCATATGGAAAACAACAGTGGAGTTCACTAGTGTATTGCCAGCAATGGGACATCCTATAATATCCTACACAATTTTTTGGCCGCATTCAACTTATTACTGTGGCCTTAACCTTTAATTTAACAACACACTGACATCCTCCTTGGTGTTGGTCAAGACAGGTTTACTGTTACAATACTAACCAAACCAACCCAAACTGTTTCAACCCTAATTATAGCTGGCTAACTGATTTATCCCTCAAGATGTCGGCAAAGACAGGTTTACTGTTACAATACTAAACCAAACCAACCCAAACTGTTACAACCCTAATTATAGCTGGCTAACTGATTTATCCCTCAAGATGTCGGCAAAGACAGGTTTTCTGTTACAATACTAAACCAAACAAACCCAAACTGTTACAACCCTAATTATAGCTGGCTAACTGATTTATCCCTCAAGATGTCGGCAAAGACAGGTTTACTGTTACAATACTAAACCAAACCAACCCAAACTGTTACAACCCTAATTATAGCTGGCTAACTGATTTATCCCTCAAGATGTCGGCAAAGACAGGTTTACTGTTACAATACTAAACCAAACCTACCCAAACTGTTGCAACCCTAATTATAGCTGGCTAACTGATTTATCCCTCAAGATGTCGGCAAAGACAGGTTTACTGTTACAATACTAAACCAAACCAACCCAAACTGTTACAACCCTAATTATAGCTGGCTAACTGATCTATCCCTCAAGATGTCGGCAAAGACAGGTTTCACAAAGAAACTCAAGTTATTATTTCAGAATTCTACAAATGTATGAGTTATGTCCCCTTATACTGTAGCTCTTTAATTTCAGGTTGATTGGAGGATCGGATTACAAGCTAATCTATCGCCATTATGCTACACTATATTTTGTGTTCTGCGTGGATTCATCAGAGAGTGAGCTTGGAATTCTAGACCTCATACAGGTAGGTAGCAATCTTAATGTCAGCTACAGCACCAATTGGCTAATGGTAAATGATGAGGGCTACAATAAATGGTTTAAGTAATGATAAATGGTTTAGACTAGGTTTTAAGCACCCCTGCCCCACACAGACATGTGAGCTTACATGCTGTGACACATGGTGTATGTCAAATTTCCTATCAAATGCTACATGTCTTAAACGACTGTGTGAATCTTGACTTAATTTGGTCTGGAGTGTAGTTCAATCACTGAAGGGTGTTGCCCCTCAGAGGGCAGGGGATGGGCAAATGGGGTAAAGAGAGTTTAATTTTTAAAATGCTTCTCCTTTACTGATGAAGGACTCTGTCAATATTTGCTCTGGAGTTGTGGGGTCCATACAATAAGGAAAATTAAAATAAATATGTTAAATCCTCCTTCCACACAGACAAAGAGATCGATGTGAAACGAAAAAAAATATATTTTGGTCTGAAGCATTGATGTTGTAAATAAAACAAAGGCTATGCAGATTCCTGATCGAATCATCACATGGAAACAGTTGAGAACCTCACCCAGTAACTGCATCAATGATGGCTATGTAATATGAAGAGACATGCATGTACATGTATGTATATGACATTGTATGTTTTATAGGTGTTTGTTGAGACCCTCGACAAGTGCTTTGAGAATGTTTGTGAACTGGACCTAATCTTCCATGTTGACAAGGTAAGTCCAATATGCACTATACAGGTCATTTTGTGGTGTTGTTGTTTTCACAATGTTTATGGTAAGGAGCATTACTAGTTCTGATATGACTGCACATATTTAAAATAGTAAATAATCACATGATGTCAATCAAAAATCAATAAGTGTACAGATGAGTATTTCAATAGATTGATATGAATACAGCACTGGGTGATGCTCATTGCTGAACATTTTTCCAAAACTAAATAAATAAAAGGTGGATCCTACCCTAGATCTGGCTTCATTGACTTTTTATACTCAGTACAATGTTATTGTCTTTTCTTCATTTCTCTTTATCCTTACTTTTTCTCCATAAAAGTTTGGCAAAGTTGATGTTTTTGGAAATAATTTATCAAAGCTAGTCTGTCGTATTGTAGTCTCGTTCAACAAGACTCTTGTTGCCTGCGCAAACCTACGCCGAACAGAGAATCTGGTCAAACCCAGTGCTTTCGTCTTGTGACATCATAACGAGGCTTATCAGAATTCTGGTAAATGATTTCATTGGTCAAAGGTTGACGCACCCTTTTCAACCTTTGAAGTCAGAATTTTAGTGGCACTAAATTACATTGAATATTTTAATTCATGAAAAAATGACTTGTACATGCATTCCTGAAGTATCCATGTTTTCACTATTAACGAGAAAAATGTTGGAAAATGCCTCAAAAAGAATGATTTCATGTATTTTCATTGGATATTTTACAATAATTTATGAAGCTAACAAGGCTATTGATTATAGTCAAGCCAGATTACCTGAGTGAGAACTGAGTGTTTTGAATAGTGCACAGGTAAAATCTCACTTGCTTTGCATGCTTTTTCCAACTTAAGTCAGCCTTGTTGGCTTTGTGCTCAGTTAATCATTTAGTGGAAATTAAGCACAATATTCTGGAGATTTGACACATTTTCTTACATTGTTCTCGATAATAGTGAATACACAGGTACTTCAGGAATGCATGTATAGTTAAGTTTTTTTCATTAACTTCATTTTTCATTGAAAATGTTTAATGGCGTTGACATAACGCCCGGAAACGAAAGTAAAAACACTGCCCTCTGGTGATGGTAATTTTATAGTACTGTGTGTGACCAGACTCTTGAATTACAGGTGATCAAGCGTCTGGTTGAACGAGAATAGTCATGTTGAGGAGAAAAATATTCCAATGCACAGTTTCATCTTTGGCAGTGGTGTGTGGAAATATTCCTGTGTCTGATTTTCACGTCTAATACCGGGAAACAACCCAAAGCACAGATACATGTTTGGTGTTGGAATACTGAAGTTTCATTCTCACATCTAATACCGGGAAAGAACCCAAAGCACAGTTACATGTTTGTTGTTGGAATACTGAAGTCTCATTCTCACATCTAATACCGGGAAAGAACCCAAAGCACAGATACATGTTTGTTGTGGGAATACTGAAGTCTCATTCTCACATCTAATACCGGGAAAGAACCCAAAGCACAGATACATGTTTGTTGTGGGAATACTGAAGTCTCATTCTCACATCTAATACCAGGAAAGAACCCAAAGCACAGATACATGTTTGTTGTGGGAATACTGAAGTCTCATTCTCACATCTAATACTGGGACTATGATGTTCTGATTGTTCACAGGTGCACTACATTCTGGCCGAGCTGGTGATGGGTGGGATGGTGCTGGAGACGAACATGACAGAAATCATAACAAGGATCGAGGAACAGAATAAACTGGAGAAATCAGAGGTACCAAACGTCAAGTGTCATCTTCAACGTAGCATTAAAGTGTGGACAGTAATTTGTCTATATATACTCACTGGTATATATATATATACTCCCTGGAACATATATATACGCACTGGTATATATATGTACCAGTGAGTATATATATATACCAGTGAGTATATATATATACCAGTGAGTATATATATGTGCCAGTGAGTATATATATATATACCAGTGAGTATATATATGTTCCTGTGAGTATATATATATATATACCAGTGAGTATATATATGTTCATGTGAGTATATATATATATATACCAGTGAGTATATATATGTTCATGTGAGTATATATATATATATACCAGTGAGTATATATATGTTCCAGTGAGTATATATATATATACCATTGAGTATATATATATGTTCCAGTGAGTATATATATATGTACAGTGAGTATATATATATGTACCAGTGAGTATATTTACGTCTATATTACTTCTTTGACCCATACCAGTGAGTATATGTATAAACCAGTGAGTTTAACACTAAACTGGAACATATATATGTCCCAGTGAGTATAAATATGTTTGATTGTAGAGTTAAACTCACTAGTATATATATATACTGACTGGTATGGGTCAAAGAAGTTATATAGACGGTAAATATACTTTTGCAGGTCCTCTACATCAGCGTTCCTTGTCCGCGATGCTCTCAGCTAATTAATTGCTGCCTTCGGCTGTCTTTAGCCGAGGGGACTATTTTTTTTATATAATAGCTATATTTTCAATTATAGTATATCAGTTCTATCTTCTTGTAATATGATGTATATGTACATGTTACTGTTCTGTTTCACTGTGTCTTGATAAAGGAGCCGATCGCTCCGAAAATTTGACAACCTAAACTTGTCCACACTGTTGGAATTACTTGTTTGCCCCATATATACTCACTGGTATAGTTAAACCTGTCTTAAAAGACCACCTGCAGGAAGTTCAAAAAGTGGTCTCCTAGGACAGGTGAATTCAATACCATAGGGAACATTGGAAATGGTCTCTTAACACCAGTTGTCTTTTGATATAGGTGGTAGTTAATATGGAGGAATAACACTTTTGGTCATATTTGTTCATTACCAGCAGGAATAATTTAACTTTTGTTAGAATCATTATGAGATGTCAATTAAGATGGTACGAAAAAGTAGGGTCCTGATTTACTCCTTGGGCCAGAGAAATGTGGCCCAAATGGGAAAATCTTTATCCTCATTCACCACCAAATTAATTTATTTGTATACTTAGTACTATTAATTGTTTTTTTGTTTGTTTTTATTTTTTGCCCCCATATACATTGTATGTATATACCAGTGAGTATATTTACCGTCTATATTACTTCTTTGACCCATGCCAGTGAGTATATATATATACCAGTGAATATATATATATATACCAGTGAGTATATATATATACCAGTGAGTATATATAGCATAACAACTGCTTTGTTCACATGATCATTTCCACTTCACGTCTCAAAATAACTATAATACATCAATGATTTGTACATCTCAGTTGACCGTTGAGGCCCTTGGGCCTCTTGTTACAGTGTATGATAGAGCTAGAATAATCAATTACATGTGATGTTTTGTTTCCTTTAGAAAATATTTCAGTTGCCAGTAAGTACACTCCGCCTGGCCTGTGTCTGAGCCTGTCTGGCTCCTCTGTCGATGTATACACATGTGTGGGAAGGGGCACCACTAACACTACATAGATATTACTAACTCCTGTAGATAGTGATATGACTGGCAGACTGGTCACCTCAGGGTCGTATTATACGATGTAACGCTTGACCGGCCTACTGGTCACTTCAGCATCATGATATGCTCAGAGTCGTGTTATATAACTTAGGACCTGACCAGAATGCTGGTCACCTCAGGGTCGTATTATACGACCTAACGCTTGACCAGCCGACTGGTCACTTCAGCATCATGATATGCTCAGAGTCGTGTTATATAACTTAGTGCCTGACCAGAATGCTGGTCACCTCAGGGTCGTGTTGTACAAATGTAATTAATACCAGACCGACTACTGGTCACCTCACAATCGTGTTATATGATATAGTGCCTGACCTGGACTGAGTTTTACTGAAACGTTAGAGGAAGACATAGGCATAACTTATGTCAAAAATCTGTTTTACTAAGGTCATAACTTTTAGTTACGTGTAAGTCTATGTCAGCACTAAAGTTCACATGTTAGGCTAGGTCTAACCCTACGTTTTCATTTCGGAGTCACAGCCTTTGATAAAACTGACCTTACGCATGCATAACAAAATTGTAACTCAACTTTTGTCTACGTTTGCGTCTGGACTTGGGACCTTCAGCAAAACTTTGTCCATAGTGCCTCTGATCACTATCTCGGTTGATGATTACCACCAAGTTTCATCAAAATCTGACTAACAGTTTCTAAGGAGAATTTAAGTTATTCAACTTAACTTATGCCTGACCAGCCTGCTGTCACCTCAGTGTCATGTTATACGACTTAATGCCTGACCAGCCTTGTGTCATCTCAGTGTCATGTTATACAACTTACTGTCTGACCAGCCTGCTGTCACCTCAGTGACATGTTATATGACTAAATGTCTGACCAGCCTAAGGTCACCTCAGTGTCATGTTATATGACTTAGTGCCTTACAAGCCTGTTGTCACCTCAGTGTCATGTTATAAAAACATAGCCTGACTGGCCTGCTGTCACCATGAAACTTAGTGTTTGACCAGCCAGCTGTCACCTCAGCGTTATGTTATACGACTTAGTGCCTGACCAGCCTGGTGTCACATCAGTGTCATATCATACGACTTAGTGTCTGACCAGCCTGCTGTAACCTCAGTGTCATGTTATACGGCTTAGTGTCTGACCAACCTGCTGTCACCGCAGCGTTATGTTATACGACTTAGTGTCTTACCAACCTGCTGTCACCTCAGCGTTATTTTATACGACTTAGTGTCTGACCAGCCTGGAGTCACATCAGTGTCATATTATACGACTTAGTGTCTGACCAGCCTGGTGTCACCTCAGCGTTATGTTATACGACGTAGTGTCTGACCAGCCTGGTGTCACATCAGTGTCATATCATACGACTTAGTGTCTGACCAGCCTGCTATCACCTCAGCGTTATGTTATACGACTTAGTGTCTGACCAGCCTGCTGTCACCTCAGTGTCATGTTATACAACATAATGTCTGACCAGCCTGCTGTCACCTCAGTGTCATGTTATACGACTTAGTGTCTGACCAACCTGGTGTCACTTCAGCGTCATGTTATACGACTTACTGCCTGACCAGCCTGGTGTCACATCAGTGTCATATTATATGACTTAGTGTCTGACCAGCCTGCTGTCACCTAAGTGTCTGACCATCCTGGTGTCACCTCAATGTCATGTTATACAACTTAGTGTCTGACCAACCTGGTGTCACTTCAGCGTCATGTTATACGACTTACTGCCTGACCAGCCTGGTGTCACATCAGTGTCATATTATATGACTTAGTTTCTGACCAGCCTGCTGTCGCCTCAGTGTCATGTTATACGACTTAGTGTCTGACCAGCCTGGTGTCACATCAGTGTCATGTTATACGACTTAGTGTCTGACCAACCTGGTGTCACCTCAGCGTTATGTTATACGACTTAGTGTCTGACCAGCTTGGTGTCACATCAGTGTCATATTATACAAATATAGCCTGACTTGCCCGCTGTCACCATACAACTAAGTGCCTGACCAGCCTGCTGTCACCTCAGTATCATGTTATACTACTTAGTGTCTGACCAGCCTGGTGTCACATCAGTGTCATATTATACGACTTAGTGTCTGACCAGCCTGGTGTCACATCAGTGTCATGTTATACGACTTAGTGTCTGACCAACCTGCTGTCACCTCAGCGTTATGTTATACGACTTAGTGTCTGACCAGCTTGGTGTCACATCAGTGTCATATTATACAAATATGGCCTGACTTGCCCGCTGTCACCATACAACTTAGTGCCTGAATGGCCTGTTGTCACCATACAAATTATTGCCTGACAAGCCTGGTGTCACTTAAGCTTCATGTTATATGACTTAGAGCCTGAACAGCCTGTTGCCACCTCAGTGTCATGTTATATGAATTAGTGCCTGACCAGCCTGCTGTCACCTCAGTGTCATGTTATATGACTGAGTGCCTGACCAGCCTGGTGTCACCTCAGTGTCATATTCTACGACTTAATTCCTGACCAGCCTGCAGGTCACCTGTATATATTATAATCTTAAATGCCTGACTTAGTGCCTAACCAGCTTGTTTTCTTATTTAGGCATAAATTATCAAAAAAGGGCTCAGTATTATATTGTAATTGCATCTAAACATCTGAACTAGGACATTTTTCTATTGCTGTGATATCACTGTTGTTGGTATGCATATAGCAGGCGTCGCTACAGCGAACTATCATGCGGCGTCGTTGTTTATGATGTCATAATATCTGCTTCAAATTAACAGTCTTAAGAATCTCCTTGATGAGATAATTTGCTGTTTAGATTTTTTCTTTGCATATATATATATATTTTTTACAATATAGCTTGCTAAAAAAAAATAAAGAAATCTGTGTCCTGTGAATGTTTCAGATCAAAAGCATGTGGGAGCTTGGTTTAGATAGTTATTGTAACCGTGACAACAACAATTTTAGCAGCTACATGTTATTATATCGTTAGATAACTAAAAGCCTCCTTGTACATATGTATTTATAAGTTTGTTGTATGTCAGTCAAAACATATGCATGCTATAATTATAGGATCAGATTAAAGAGTTTCTATTCACCAGTCAGACTTACTGTAAGGACATGTTATGTTATGGGAAAGTGTCTGTCCATATGTTCAAAGTTTGGTTTTTGAGAGATAACACATTTAGCACTGAATGGGGCGGGGCTATGATTGACAGATTTGGGGAAATTTTAATGGATTTGGCAAATTTAATTGAAAATAGGGAAATAAAACTATCCTTGGGGATGTTTCATCAGAAATAGGGTAATTATTACCCCATTTGCAAAGAAATTTCTCCAAATGTAATTGACTGGTGACACTTAAAAATATTTCGATGAAACTTGGAAAGCATGTACAATATTCTGAAGACTGAAGATAAGTTTAAAGTTGAGCAAAATCTGTGCATAATTAATTTTCATACTGTGCTCCGATTGGTTTACAGCTCCCTCACGACAGCTTAGTTTTAACTTGATTTTGATGAAAATATTTCTATCGCACAAAGACAATGTAAGTTTTAAGTTCAGCAAAATTTGTGATGTTTTAATTAAGTTGCATACTGCACTTTGCTTGGTTAGGAGTTTCTGCAATATAACTTCATTAACCCTTTCACCCCTGTAGACCATAATGGATTCATCAAGAGCAAAGCCTGGTAGAGTCTACTAAAGTGAAAGGGTTAAATATGACAGGATTTGATGAAATTTGAAGTACTCGTACCAAGACAAAGGCTGAGTTTGAAGTTGATCAGAATCTCTGCATGGCATTTAGACAGGTGTATATTGTTCTGCCCCTGTGGTACCCTTCAGTTCTTGTACCTATTATATACATGTGTATACAGACATTCCTCAACAGGTGGTGGTTGGTTATCATGTTCATGTAACTTAAGTAAGTTAATTCTCCAATTATGTAGGCATGAGGTTTACAGAGAGTTGAAAATTAACCAAGAAGAGTTAAATAAACATGAAATTCAACCATTACACGTTCAGAAACATTTTTCTAATACAACATTCAGATATTATATAAGAAACATGTTTTACTTTGGAAAACATTATTCCTGGGAAACAATTGCCATGAACAATTGCCATTCACAGATGCTTTGGGTTTCGGCTACGTTGTGGAATAGCTTACCATCTGCTATTAGGAAGTCGAATACCCTGGCCAAATTAAAGAAGGACATAAAAACTCACCTCTTCACGTCTGCATTTTAGAATCTTTGCAAAGACGTCACATAATACCACCCTTTTATTTGTTCAATTATGTTCACATTGCTTGTTATCCATATGTTGTAAAGCGCCTTAGAGTAATTTTACAAATTATATAGGGCGCTATATAAATGCTGTATATTATTTATTATTATTATTAACTTATGATATCAAAATGGGAGATGATGTCACAAAGCATTGACCAATAAAATCCCACCCAGAGTGTTACTACACACACAATTATTCAAAACTGTTTACAAACTCCTAGCAGGTTTATCCAATAAGTTGGGAGTGAGGAGCCTCGGGAGTTGTTGTAGGAGAAATGTATAGGGAAGTTTCCCCTGAAAATGATAGTGAACTCACCTTTTCCTATAGAAATAAAATAATCTTTTCTAAATCTTAAGAACCAGCCCTGATATAGACTAAAATTAATATGATCAAAATTTTATACCTGATTATATAGAAGTTGATTCTTCAAAAATGTCTGAATTGATCCAAGATTTGAGTGATACTATCATAACATCGGGCAGATTTTTAAGATGTGTTTTACTTTATTCTTTCATGTTACAAAGTAATGTCGGTCAAACTTGAAAGTACAGAAAAAATATACAGATAATCCCATTATGTAGTATTTTTATGTTTCTTGATTCAGCAAATTATACAAACAGATGAAATCATGGGAATAAATTTGAGATTCTACAGTATTTATCATATGGGTTACAATATAATAGATTGACATATCTTAGTCCCTGGAATGTTTGGTTCTTTATCAGCATGTAAGGGAAACTTATCTAATCTACTGTGAATTGTTGGGATATTTTTTAACATATTGCATGTGAATTATGACATAATTATACAGTGTAAAATAACTACACCCACAATGAGTCACATGACTTTAAGAAAGTAGGCTTATGGTATTTATGACATTAAATTGAATTTGTACTAAATTGGTGAAATCATTCCATGCCTTGAATACAGGGAGAAAATATTTCTTATTTGATATGTTTGGATTACGATCAGTATAAATTAATATCAAGTCTGAGATGTTATTTTCTGATTTTAATAAATAGAATGAATTTGTTCTCAAATAGAAATCTGAAGTTTGAAATTTCCAAGGAATTATGATCAGGGCAGTGCCAGAATTATTTGGCAATAAGCCCATACATGTTAATAAGCCCACTGAGGTCAAATACAGTTCATGGTCCTGCAATAAGGTCATCTCATACTTTCAGTTTGAGTGTATGTGTAGACGTGTTGGCCTGGGGGCATATTGCAGGACATATGCCTTATAGAGATTTTCCAGTACAGGAATGGTTGTTAAAACAAAAATCACACATTTTTTGTTGTTTATTTCAGGCGGGTATATCAGCAGCTCCAGCACGAGCGGTGTCTGCGGTCAAGGACATGAACATCCCACAGAAAATAAAGGACATGAAGATGCCGGACCTCCCATCCATAGGCAACCTCAAGTTCTGATCCGTGTTGTCCTAAATCTGACCAATCACCAAATATTGGGTGATAAATCTGACCAATCACAGAATATTGGGCGATACATCTGACCAATCACAGAATATTTGGTGATAAGTCTGACCAATCACAGAATATTGGGTGATACATCTGACCAATCACAGAATATTGGGTGATAAATCTGAGCAACGCAGCATACAGTGGTGAATCAATGAACAAATATAAACCTGTCATATTACAGGAAATAAAGTGTTGGCGTCATAAAGGGGTTTCGTTAACATGAATCTGACTAATGACAGAATATTGGGTAATAAATCTGACCAATCTGAATAATTATAAACCAGTCATATTACAGTAAATTAAGTGTTTTTTTGCAAAAAATGGACAAACAAACTTCATTATACTGCCACCATTTGTACTGTCAGAAATTTTGGCATTACAAAAGGGGTTAGTCATTGTTCTGACTAATGACTGAATATTGGGTGATAAATCTGACCAATCGAGGAACAAATATAAACAAGTTGTATGACAGAAAATGAAAGAGCTTTTTGCCAAAAAAATACAATAAAACCTCATTATAAATATATACAGTAAAACCTTGTTATACTGCCAACATTTGTCCTGAGAAATTTTGACATTATAAAGGGGTTTGTCGATTTAATGAGGGAAACATTTAAAGAATTTCTGAAGAAAAGAGAAAACAGGATAATCTGCAGAAAAGAGAATTTGAGGGGATTTTGAGGGGTGTTTTTTAAGATAAACAAAGTGGCTGGCAAATGGAACAGGGGGCATTATATCAAGTTTTTTGTTAGATCTCCTGATATGCATATGCATGAACTATTTGAATACTGTACTGTACATTGTGATACTGAAAAGTATCTAAAAGCAGTGAGATTTTTTCATAATAATCTATTGTCTAAATGCTCTTTTCCTGTATCTTATAAAACTCATTTATTCCCAGGATCTAAGGATAGAGTAATTCCACCACAGGATTTTTCAAATTTGGTAAAACTTGCCCAAATTGAAAACCTTGAGGGTGGATTTTTTCATACTGCATTCCTAGGCATGATTTTTTTTTTATCTTATTCTAGTCTCAGCAACATTAAATATATCTCATTCTTCAATTTTGTAAAGCAAAATATTCCCATGTATTTGACTTGTATGGATAACAAATTAACAACAGCTTTTAATTTCATCATGTCACCATAACAATATGTCCGTTTCAGAAATGGTTGACCCATTGGGATGTCATGCATGAGAAATAGGGTGCAAGATAGGACTTGAGTGTATGACTCAGAATTCATATGTAAATTTATCACTGACTTGAGTTGCCTCGACTGAAATTCTTATTTATAAAAATTTGATTGAAATTACTAACTGTAGATTTAAAATATGTTTAGAATGGATCTTTGTGTTTTTGAATATGACATAAAAATTCATTTTGGATTATATACTGTAAATTCATAATGAGCGATTTCAAACACTCCAGAGTATCGGGCTAGCCTGACACTAGTGTCATCCAAAATGAAAATGAATGCTGGCCTAGCCTTTGAAACTATGAAGTTAACCATAATCATCATACTGTAAATCAGTCGGTTTTTGTGAGATATTAATTTTCATGTTTATAAGGAAGGAAACTGCTAAATACAAAATGATGTATTCACAAAAAAAATACCCGGTAGGTTTTGTTGGTTACTCTAGGTTCTCCCCACTTAATGTGCCCTAATATAAGTTGGAAAATGGTTTAGAATTATTTTAAAATATGAAGTGTATTATATATAATATTTTTAAAGTAAAGGCATAGTTCGCAAAATGAAGTGCACACAAAAAAATACTTATTTACAGAGGCATTTGTGGTTATTACTCCTTTAATTTCACAAAGCCACTTGCCTTTGGACTGTAATTATTTTAAAATCACAAAGCTCGTTTACAGAATTGTGGTGTTAAGTTTTCAACTGATCAAATAAAGTGTCTGTATTATCACAATAAACCAATTAATGGCAACAAAGTCCTGTTACACACACATTCAAGTTAATACTGTTGTTCATTAAGATTACATGTTTTGATGATGAGACTGAAAGAATGATTATGGAATGTGCAATATAAACAGATGTAACCTAGTATACACAATAAGTAATAACCATAGTCGCTGTAATTACTCCCCCCCCCTCCCACCCCC